AATCTGTAATTATGGTTACCTGGCTACCTGTCCCAGTGCATGGTGCCACATCCATGGCCCCACCCTGCAGTCCCCGACCTTGGGGATAGTCTGCACATCTGCCAGTACCAACACTGTACAGCTGCAAGCAGATACAGACATGATGCCTCACAGTCCATCCATACACAACCTGTTCATATATTCGTGTGCATGTATGAGCACGTGAGAGCTTGTGATACCTCTCCTGACAGTGCAGTTCTGTCCTGGGGGATATAAAGCTGTGGGTAGACTGTAGTTAGGAACCAGTGAAAGTTCCTACAGCCCAGACTCCTCTTCAGCCGCAGACGCTCCGTGATGTTCGGGTTTTCAGACTGGACAAAGAAAGAAAGTTTCATTTTTTTGTCTGTGGTGCACACTCACCAGACAATCTCTTGACCAGATGTGTTGACTCACACACGCACACACACATATACACAAACACCTGTCTGATGAAATGAGCAAGCGTGTCCCTTCTGTAGTAGATTTTCTTGTACGTGTCCATCCAGGTTTCAGCAACCCGGATCTTGTTCCTCTGAAGCAAGTCCTGATCTGGGAAGCGATACGGCAGGTGGCGGCGAATGAGGTGGCCCACGCGGGAGCAAGGTACCACCTCCATGGAGCCGCCGCATGACCACACCTATAAGAATGTAGTAGTATTTTAGTAATAAAGATTATAATTGTTTTCTGTGTTTCTTTTTTTTTAAAATTCCCTGTTTGTTAGTCATATTGTTTCATATTTTAATGGTCATCCCAGGCAGACAAGTTGATTTATAACATTTTTGCTCTCACACTTGTACATTCATCAGTGGGCCAGGACATTCCCAGACCACGGTCCAAGCTGAAATTTCCATTTGCAAAAGGCATCATCTCATAGCACAGCAATTCTAAAGCACTAACAGAAGGCAACCGAATCACTCAGGCGAAGCATCGCTAAAATACCTTACTTGGCTTAAAATAAAAAGCAAATGCAGTCTGTCATCTCTCTGTCTGGTGTATGTGCACTGGAGGATTTAGCAGGAAAGTTGACATCAAATGAGTTTTCCTTTACCCGGATAGACAGCTCAATTTGCTCTGCACCCCATAGCACCATCCCAGGGTCATAGGCTCCCACGCTCTGGAAGAAATGTCGGTCGATAGCCACAACTCCACCTCCTAACGCTGGGCTCCTGTCACAAACAGAACCAGCATCATTTTTTTTTTTAAAAGAACTGCACGGATGTGTTGGTATCTCTGGAGTAGAGTGACATAATGGACTTCAGGATGTTAAAGTCTGGGTTTGCAACACAAGGACAAACAGATCCACATGTATGGTCCTTAGTTTTTATACTTCTGTATTCTAATTGGTCATATTTTCTAGATTTTTCAAAGGCAAAGGTCAGTTATGCACTTACACATACCGTGTAAAATTATATCTGTTCCGTCTTTCGTAATATGGTTCATTTAGCATTGTTATCATGCAAATAAGAAGTCATTAAATCTAACTTGCACCCCTTAACAGCTGCACACTTACTGCAGAGGTTGGACAGCCATCTCTGGGTCTTTATCTTGCAACTCTGGATTTGATTCCCAAAAGAAGTCAAGTCTCCAGTCGAACACCCCCCTAACTGGCCACTGGGTGGCATTGTACCGAAAGGACTGCCAGTCTATCACATCCATGATGGGGGACACCACTCTGGTCCTAAGAAGACACCACATTCTGGATCTCAGCAGCTCTTTTTATTTGCATTTATTAAGTGTGGTGAGTGAGACTGCTTTGTATGTAAAGCATGCCACTACTAGTCAAGTTATAGCTAATAACTCCTTGACTACATTTACATTTACTAATCTGTGCACAACTAGGTAAAATAGACACTGCGTTTTCATTTCTGTATGCATGTGTTTGAAATTGCAAACGCCGGCTGTGTCACAGGAAGTTCAGAAACATGTACTGTCCTTTGTCGGGGAATGTTTTGGCTCCCCATGTGTGCTGTTTGAAATATCCATGCCAAATGACCATGTGTGGTGTGACGCTTTAAGGAAATGAAAAGATCAAAAAGGGAATTGAGAAAAAATGGGAGAGGGGTCAAACATGTGGCCGAGAGAGCCGAATGGTTGCAGATTCCAAGCCCGAGCCCTCAGCTTAATTACCTAGTCTAATTAGAGCCACGCTGCAGGCAGCCTGAGACATAAGACGAGAGCCAAATCATGGGAGCTCAGTGCTCGATACACACACATACACCTCATGCATCGCCCTGCTTTGCTAATGAGTAAGGGCGAATGATAAGTCGGAACCCTTCATCTCCTCACAAGTGTTTCTGTCCAAAGGCTGAACTCATTAGAGAAAGTAAAAAAAAATCTGGCACAGTAACTGTTTATATTTTGACATGTCACCCATTTAAGAACTTGCATTTGGAATCCTGTTAGTATGCAGCATCTTTCTCACCGTAAAATATGAAAATAGATTTTTAATTGGAATAACTAAAAAAAGTACCTGTCCTGGGCAATTCTCTCCAACAGCGGTTCCAGCCAGCCCTTTTGGCATTCACAGTGGGAGTCCATGAACACCAGCACCTCCCCAACAGCCCTGGTAGCACCTAATGTCCGGCAACCTCCAACCCCGAGGCGTTTGGTGCTGCGAATCAAACGCACTCCATCCAGATGAGACACGTACTCACTCAGCCCAGTCTTCAGGTGACCTAGGAGGAGCACAGAGAAAAGGCGGAACAAGCTGTCAGCACACTGAATTAATGGATGGATGGATGGATGGATGGACGGATGGACGGATGGACGGATGGATGGATATGTTCACCCTGTTGACTTAGGTCGTCCACCAGCAGGACCTCCTGCAGATACTGTTTAGGTGCAGTGTCGAGGACGCTGTGTACTGTGCGTAGGAGAGTGGACCAAGCCTCGTCATTAAAACAGATAACAACACTGGCCGACGGCAGAGACTCGATGTGTTGCTCCCCCAAACACCTGTTGATGGGAGGGGGACAAATTGTGAAAGCGGTAACAACTACACTAACTTTTAGCGCTTGTTGAACTCCAGCATGGGGTAACTTTTGATTTATATTTTCAATCGTGCGCTTTGTTCACTCACTCTGGATGGCGCGCCTCTGGCAGCCTGCGATGCAGAGAAATCCTTTCGCTCACTACCTCATTGAAACCGTACTGCTGCAAAGCCCTGAGCTCCATATCCCTCTCCAAACCCTCCAGATGAAGGCGCACTGCTTTCCCCATTTCACCGTGCGTAGGTGGCCCGCGTACGGTGGTATCTTTACTTACTCCGGGAAGGAGCATCTTGTAACTCCGCTTTTTCTGTGGCGAGCTCTTGGTGCCATGTATGGATGGGACGAATAACAGCTGGTCTTCTTGCAGAGATTTCAGAGGAGTCAAATCGGCGCCTAGCTCCAAAGCAGGGTCATGGGAGTCCACAATGACCTCTAGATCCGGAGGACTGGCGATCCGCTGGAGGGGCTGGCGGGGAGGGCCGGGTTTGTGACGATTGCGGTCGCTGTCCCGATTAAAGAGATCCGAGAGCGCCAGCGCAACCAGGGCGAATCCGATGAGCAGCAACCAGAGGCAGAGCATCTTCCTCCGGACGGCGCTCCTCCGCCTCATGCTGAGCGACGGCGCAGGAGGCGTGAGACTGTGCTCAGAAGGCGGCCCGGTGCTGTTTTGAATTGCAGATGTGTTTGTTTTGCTTCATCTTGACGAGCACTGCATTTCATCAGAGTGATGCAACTCGACTAGAATGATTCAAGAAATAAATAGATCGCACACGAATCCCCTGAAGAAGAGTAGAGGTGCATTCATTGAGTACCAGAGCTGGGACAAGAGTGACATACAGTGCAGGTTTGAGACAAGTTCTCAACTTTGAAATGATGGAGTTTCGCTGACTTTGTCTTTCATCCAGCTCCTCCCGCGGTCCTAGAGCCTGTGCAAAATATTTTGCGTCATGTAAATCATGTAAAGGTGGTCACTTCCTGTATCCACCTGTTACTCAACCTGCTCAGGTCTTCGTCTCTACTTCATAACAAGAGGGATTAAAAGATAATTTTGGAAAAAATATAATTAAGAAAATTCTCCAGAACGCACAGAGTAGTATACACTTATTACTTTTCACTTTCCATCACAATAGAAATACAATGTTTAAAGTTTAGGAAGTCTACTTGGCTCAGAAGCCGTATTAGTATTGTCTTCTTGTCATCTTATTATTCCTGAAACGCCTTGTGGGGAATCCTAAAATACTCTAAATTAAGTGGTAAAAGCCATAATTAACTATTTCAAAACACATTTTTACTAGCTGGTGTGCTCAGTTATAAATAAGTCCGCACTGCAGTGGAAAGACACAATGTTTTTACATTTCCTCCAGTCTGTGTGTGAGAGTCTGCTTGTAGCAGGCGTCTCCCTCCGGGCGTCACACATCAAAGACGCTTCCTCTGGCCAGCTGGCTTTGGGCCTCCGGGTCCCATGACCGTCTGTTGGTGCCGGGAAGCGGGGCGTTCACGGCTTCGATCTCTTTGGTTCTCTGTGGAGATCTTGGCAGCCAGTCTTAAAGAAAGTAAAGACCGAATGACTTGGGTCCGCGTATTTATTTTACTGTTTTCTTTCTCGACAAGTGGAAATGTGCATGCTTCTGTGTTGTCATAAACTTGTTTTTGGTATTCTGTGAATGGAATTTCCCACACCGCAAAACTGAACTGCTGAAGAAAAAGAAAAACACTCGGAGCATGCCCATATATCATCTAAAGGTTTGAGTGGAAAATTGGCAAAAACTAAAGCCTAATAATTTCCTGATACATTATGATAATGGCATTAGAAGGTCAGACTGTGCACATCACAAACCCTTCTGCGTCGTCTGCGCCATGGCAGCTTCTCTGCTTCTGCTCTGTATTGTGGCTAACATCTGCGAGAAAGACCTCCATACAAGCTGGCAGGAAAGCCTGAGGAGCTTTTAGAGCTTAGGTCGGCTGCTCTGAGAGACCAGTTCACTGGTGGCAGTGGCTCTCTTAAAAGCTCCATTGCAGGCTTAATGAGTGTGTTATAGACCACACAAGGACACTTCACCTCCCCTGGATAACAGGGCAGAGTGCCTTCTGATAATTAGGACTATAGTTTCAAGAACTGGGACAGGGCACCTGGAGAGACAGGCTGACAAGTTGAAAGGCCAAAAGAGAGAGGGG